AGAATCTACCGCTGCTGGAAAGGGGTCTGAACAAAGGGGACCGTCTTTTGTCACCCAGGAGGATGTCGTTGCCATGCTGGAAAGGGAGCTTAGTCGAAGTCAGGAGGATTGGAAGTACATTCCTCAGCCACCGTACCCAGCAAGTTTACTCCAGCAGCCCTATCCCAAAGGTTACGAAACACCAACCTTTGTTCTCTTCGATGGGAGGAAAGGAAGCCCGAAGGAACATGTCAACCGATTCCTTGATGCTTTGGGGCCGCACGCTGGTGATTATAATTTGCGACTCCGAGAATTCTCAAAGAGCCTCACCGATCGGGCTTATACATGGTACACCACGTTGGCACCAGGCTCTATGCGTTCCTGGGACGATTTGGCGAGCAGGTTTTGTAAAAAATATTTTCAGCACGAGGAGAGGGTCACCACCACGCTCAACAACACTCGCGGGAGGATCCCGTGGACTTCGCGAGAAGATTCCGGGACTTGGCTCTCGATTGCTATGACGAAAAAGATGAGGAGGCACTTGTTGAGATTTGCATCAACAATATTGTGGCAGACTATAGAGTATACTTGGAAAATATCGGCATCAGCCAATTTTCCCGGCTGCTGGAAGCGGTAAGAAAGACAAGCATGTTCGTCAAACTGACTGGACAAAAGGGCTGGATGAGTGAGAAGAAGGAATCACATCAGGTGTTAGCTACGGATGAGAAGCCATCTAACGATTATAGCTCACGCAAACGGAAAGATAGGGAGACGTACCCGCCACTGCCTTCCAAAGATGAAGAGTTTCATGCCATCCTCGACACAATGATTGCTGACGGCGCGATCAAACCTCTCAGGCCCTACAAGGTCCCCACCAGGGAAGAAAAAAGTGATCCCAGATACTGTCGCTATCACCAGTTTGTAGGACATCCGACCATCGCTTGTCAGAGTTTAAGAAGGATCTTACATGGCAAAATACACGAGGGAGTTCTTGAGCTTCCCTCTAGGAAGCAGGCTATTGATGAGGACCCTTTGCCAAAACGAAGGGGGAAAGAAACAGCTGCTGTTATTACGTGTTCAGATGATTTGCTCGACGATGACGAATTGTGCCACCCATGGAGGAATGATCCAAAGCCACCAGAGGCTATTTGGGAGCCTTGTGGAAACATGGATAAAGCTTACTGGTGCAAATACTCGAAACCGTCAAGCTACGACACGCCATGGCCACTTGCTGATGGATGGGATGGCTGTGCAGACAATAGGGTGTTCATGTTGGACATGCCGGAAGAACAACGCCAGGGAGCCTCGTCCGGACAGCAGGAAACGTCTGCTGTGACATTTCACTCCCTTACAGAAGCTGAGGCGACTG